CATTCTTCGTCGCATCCCTGCCACCGCCACCGCCACCACCTCCACCGCCACCGCCACAACCATCCACCAACAATAACACCAACAACAACCACCACCCAAACCACCACCAACAGATCCATCAACACATAGATCATCCACCAACAACAGATCTGATCTCCGTTCCCACCACCACACCGCACAGCACACCTCTCCTCCACTGCCCCCGGTCACCTCCTCCACCACCACCATTTTCAGCAACAAATCAGTCGCCCATAACTAGATCTGAACCCGCGCCAGCACCACCGCCACCGTCACCGCCACAGTTGCCCACACCAACACAAACTCACCGTGACCTCCAACAACCATCACCTCCAAAAAACCTCCCTTGCCACCTCTAAATTCAATAAAACCCATCCCAAGCCGCAAAATCCACTACGCAACCAAGCAAACAACCAACGATCAAAACCACAAAAAAAAAAGACGGATAGAGAGAGTGAGAGAAAGAGAAAGAGCGCCGCCGTCAGTGAGGGTGGGAAGATGGATAGAATGTGGGGTTGTGTAGAGTTGTCATCGTCGTACAACTGTGCTCACAGANGAGAGAAATTAGGGTTGAAAATGAATTAGGTTTTGGATATATTTATGGTTTGATATTTAAAATAAAATACCTGAAAAGTGAATAAAAAACGTACAAACCTGATTTTTTAAAAGCCACAACTTAACACCTGGTTTAGTGTAATTTTCCCTCAAATAAAAGCCCCAACTTACCACAACTTGGGTCGACCATTCAAAAGTGAAATGGGCTAACTATCCAAAGCCACTCACTGACCACAACTTGGAACATCCATATGTGTTGGTTGTTTCCGGATCAAGCCAAATCTATGATGTCAATAAATTATTCGATATCTACTTTTCATCATCGCTCAAATTCATTAGGTATCAAAAACCCAACACTTTTTTCAGTTAAGTGTATTACGCATGTTGTAAGTGTTTATTGTACTATGGATTTAGCTTACGTAAAAAATTTTCGAATAACAATTTTTTCTCTTATCGATTGATTACAAAGAGAAATTCATTTCAAATTTTTCAATGCCATTTTTGTTCTTCCTTTGCATCAAGAAATATTTCGTTTATCAAGAAAATAATTTGATGGAAAAAGTTTAGTAAAATTATTTCCTAAATTTTTACTGAAGGCCAATGTGTTAAAAACAATTATTTTATTTAAATAAACTAAACAAGCGAGGCACAACACATTCTAACCCTTTTTTTTTTTTCCTTCTTTCAGATTAAGCTTCTCCCATTGTTACAATTAGTCGAATCATAAAAGGCAATGGCCTGTGACGAATATATACAAATATTCCTATATAAAAAAAGAAAAAAAAATCTCAGGAGGAATAAAACATTACAACTTTAATTTGAGAGTTACCGTTAAATATGTTCTCTATAAATTTGAGACTGGATATATGAATACAACTTCTATTGATGCATTAGTGAATCTACTTGGAGAACCAATGTAATTAAGTTTTTAATGACCACGAGTTGATAGTATCCTTTTTTAAGTCACCATGCGACGAAATGGAGACAAAAAAGGACAGAAATGAATGAAATTTCTATCGCTTTCGGCATAGCTGCCCCCGTAGAAGACTCGCGTGATGGGTTGTCAGTTCAATGGCTGAGTGCATCACTAATAATTGTATCGTTGTGCATGAACAATGAGGACTTTCAAGCACAAAGATGATTCAATGTGTTCATGTGCGGTACTTGGCTCTAGATCATCCTAAACACATTAGCATTTCTTACTCCTTGTGTTCAAGCTAATACTTGAAACCAAACGATTCATGGCATAGTTTAGCCACCCACTCTTCTATCATCCCATTTGTAAAAAGGAAAATCTTTAGGTTTATGCAAAGGTGTCCAGACAACCTAAGTCGTTCTTCTTATAATTAATCTCTACACCTACTCTTTAATGTTTTTATAATGTTGATTGTACATACCAAGAATAGAAACAACACAAATTTTAAAAACAGGATAATTATCTCTCATTTAAACATCATAAAAGTTAGATAGGCACAATAGTTAAAGAATGTATTCTCAGGTCCCAGAACAAAAACTAGTGCAAGCACGCAAATGCTTAACAATACGATGTTAATGAACAAATCATAGAGAATCCAAGATAAAGCAAGTCTAAAGAAAATTAAGAATCTAAAGTGTAAGAATAATATCTCAAATACATGACTTTAATTTGGTTCCATTCTATAACCTCGGAGAATATATTAGACTTTAAATGATGCTCCAAAAAACTAAAGTAAACAAAGAGTGCTAACGAAATTTCCGGGTCAGAATCTATAATAGCACATATCAACTGTTCCAAGATGAACAAAGAAACGCGCATCGTTAATTCACTTTTTACTTTCCGTCCATAGGAAGGGTCGGGAAACAAGTAAATCAACGAGATAGTAGAAAGTAACCTTCAAACATTTTCAAGCTAAGAGGTACACTTTAAGTGCCTAAATAAAGTTTAAGAGAGCGTGTTGTAAAATAAACTTGATTTAAGACATTTTAATATTAAAGAGTTTTAGTAGAAGTTATCAGATAGTTGAAAGATACATCTATTTTTGTTGTTGATTAGAAGAGTTCATTGATCACTATAAATAAAGGTGATCATTTATTTTTTCTATCCGTTTCAATCTCTGAAAAATTGGAAAATGATACTTGTACACCCCTTCACATGGAGGGGCCCTACGCACAATAAATTATGATTGCGAGCCCCCTCCATGTGAAGGGGTGTAAACCCTAATATACACCCTTATGTACGTGTAATATCTCCTTAAAAAATTATCCTAAAGTATTCTTAGGGATGGCAAAGGGGCGGGTATGGGACGGATTGGTCATTCTCACCCCCATCTCATCGGATTTTTTTGTTACCTTACCCCATCCTCATACCCGGTTAAAGCGGNTTGTTTGATTAAAAAATTAAATTTGAAATTATCTTTAAACTGGTTGGGTAGCGGGACGGGGACTATATTTCCCGTATCCGTCCCATACCCGCTTCGGGGCAATAACCCTCGTCCCGTCCCCGTCCCCGTCCCGTTTACCCGGTTAGGCGGGTAATCTCCGCCCCATTCGAGATGAGACCCCACGGGTATCGGGTTAAACGGATTATTTTGCCATCTCTAAGTATTCTTCCTAACAAATAGGGAGGGAAAGCGATAAAGGTTGACAATTGGGAGAAGACACCATCGGAATCCTAGCTGCCAGTGTAAAGGCGGTGGTAGGAGACCATACACGTCTCCCTATAATCACGGATCTTTCAGAGAGGGACAACCAGATTTTCATTTTCTAGTTATTGGGTACAAATACAAAACAAAAATTTGGGTTGGGACAAACTTAGAATATGTCAATTTCACAGGTACAAATGTGGAAAAAAAAAAAAGGACATGATTAATTTATTTGCTCCTGGTGGACACAAATTTGTTTTAATGGGTTTTTTTTTTTTATGTAATTTATCTTCCGTTTGATTGCCATTATTTCGAAAAATTGGAGTTTTGAATAATGATTTTTTTGAAGATGTATTGTTAAAAGATAGAAAAAAAATTGGATTTATGTTCAAAATATTTTCTTGTATAAATGTGTAGTTGAAAATAAGTATCAGAATTAAAGTATTTTGAAATAATGGTTGTCCAACAGTGATTTAAAATCAAATTGATAAAATTGTTTAAAAGAATTTCAAATCACAGCAAACCGTTTTACTTTTCATACAATGGTTTAGCTAATGCCTTTTGCTTTTACAATCATGCTACTTGCACGACCTTCTTTACAATTTTATACTTGGTAGACATGAATCTATCAATTTTAAAAACTATTATTTTAAATCAACAGCACGAATATTAACAAGTCACTAGTTGTACAACTAGATTAATTCATGTTTTTAATTAAATAACTGCTCAAGTCAACTTCAAACAATTTTTTAAATATCAAAAGTGAAATAAAATCATTTTTCGACCCAAATACATGGTTTCAGAATCGTGGTTTAGGTTCAGTTCAAAGGGTTGATGGCGTTTTTGTCCATGCCCACTCTAAAGTTAACTTTTTTTCTTATCTGTGTATAATTAATATTTTTTATTTTTCTAATTTGGTCAGCCCGTTAAAAAAGGGGTTTTCTCTTTTATTTAATTCAAAAAACAAGGAAATGAAAAGTAAAAAATCTTAGGGTACCTTTGGTTTATTTTTTAGTTTTCAATTTTCAATTCATTTACAGTTTTCTGTTTTAAGGATCTATTTTAAATTGCAGAAAAACATGTTTGATTTGTTATTTTGAAAAATTATTTTTCAAAAAAAAATAAAATTGAAAAACGTGTTTGCTTCAAAAATCTAAGAAATTATTTTTGACATTTTATTCAATCAAATAGATTATTCAGTAAAATAGAACGATATATATTAATATAATATCAAATAATACACATACTTTAAAGTCGATGAATCTCACAATAATTCTTTCATTTTAAAAAAATATATATTGATTTGGCAAAAAATAGGGAAAAAATAAAAAATAATGGCGTAAACCAGGAATTATTAAATATGATAATGAATGATAAAATTGCAACAATCAGTTTAGGGCTGTTCGTATTATTTTATTGAAAAATGTGTGATTGAAAAAAAAATGTATTTTGAAATAAATTGAAATCAAACAAGGGCTTAATAACAAGTGAACTTAATTTATAGGCTTACATATTGATAGAAAAAATAAACTCTATTATAAATAATAACAATAAAATAAATTTAGACAATCATTTGTGAGTCGCTGAATAGATGTGTGTTTAAGTGATATGTCATTTTAAATGGAACTAATTGTTATAGTTTATATAGGTCAAGGACCTGAGATGCAATGTTTTATGTTCCAAGAAAGATGTAAATTGCAAATGTAGTAGTCATCACGCGCTCGCTCGATCACTCTCTCTAGCAACTAATATAAACACACATCAATCCAATACTTGCCATAGAATTCACAATTCACATTACACGATATGGAGGAGCAGAAGCAGGAATTCTCTCAATTCAAAGGCCAGCCAAGGCTTCCCAAATTCGCAATCCCCAACTGCTATGATCTCAAACTGAAACCCGACCTCGCCGCATGCAAGTTCACCGGCGCCGTCGACATCTCCGTCGACGTTGTCTCCGTCACTAAGTTCCTCGTTCTTAACGCAGCCGAACTCTCCGTCAGCCCTGACTCCGTCAATTTCACATCCAATAATAAGGTCATTGCTGAACGAAAATGCCGTCCTTTAATTATTTCGAATCATGTTGACTTTCTCTTTTTCTTATTTTTAGTTTTGGATTTGATTTATTGAATAGGTGGTTGAGGTGTTTGATGTGGAGATGTGTGAGAAGGACGAGATAATAGTGTTGGAGTTTGAGGAGAATTTGCCTCTTGGAGTTGGAGTTTTAAGCATGGATTTTGAGGGGACTCTCAATGATAAAATGAAAGGGTTTTATAGAAGGTATCTCTTTTATGGTGTAGATATTTCTGTGCACATTTAGCTGAATATGTGTCAATGCAGTTAATAATCCTGTGGTTAATAATTTATAGCAGGACATTTTGCGGTTTTTTTTTAGCTATCCTAATTGTGCCTGGATTCAGTTGTAATTGCAGTTTAGGCTGGCATATATAGAGGTTTTTTGCTTCATGATTTTCCTTAAGTGCATTTATTATTTGTTTGTGCCTGTGTCAGATTATATGTTCCAGTAGATTTATTGGAGGTTACGGCCAACTAATTGTTCTTTCTTAAATTGGTCTTTGAAAAGTGGGTACAATAAAATGCATGCCTGTGCTTTTCTCAGGACACATCTGCATTGGCAATAGATTATCTTCCCTCCAGCATCATACAACAACGGTTTCTACTTCTAAAGAAAAAATGTCAGTTACATAATTTGATGAAGAGGCAAAGTGGGTTAATTAAAAGTGTTCATGATAATCGATATAGGTGTCTCGCAAGTTGAAAACTTGTTAACCTGTCAAATAATGCGAAAAAAGAAAATGTTGGTTTGTATGTGTTTTGTTTTTTTTTTTTTGTGTCCTCAAGTTGACAAGAAAATAAATTTTTGGTTCTTCACTTTATTTTTTTTCTTTTTATGTCCAGCACCTATGAGCATAATGGGGAGAAGAAAAATATGGCTGTTACCCAGTTTGAACCAGCCGATGCAAGGCGTTGCTTCCCTTGTTGGGATGAGCCTGCTTGTAAGGTATTGCCATTTTTCTGCTGCCAAGCACGTGCGCTTGTATTCATGTGGTTACCATTATAGAGATGGTTTGAGAAAACACTTGATACTCTAGATCTTATCACAGAATGTGCTTTTCATAAAAATCTTATCACAGAATGCATAAACCTGGCTGCCCTTAACATTGCAGAAATTTCCAAAAGGAAATATAAATGCCATTCTTTAGTTTTCTAAGGATAGTAGCCATGACAATTCATCTAGACAACAATGGTCAGATAATTTTTTTATACATTTTAGGATTTTACTATGCCCCTGTTTGGTTTATATAAAAACCAGTTTTTTAGCAGGTTTTGATTAAAGTATATGGAATGTGTGGTTGAAAAGTTGTGGGTCCTTAAAATGTGTAGTTAGAATTGATTGTTAATTTTGACTTAAAATTTTAATATAATTTTTTAGTTGAACCAAACAGGGGCTATATCTGAGCAATACTCGGTAATAAATAAATATAAAATTCATTTAATCAAATAAGACAACCACAGTAGAGAACGGTTCGGTTTACTTGCTGATTGAGATAATTCAGTCTCACATATTCCAATTCCAATCCCAGCATTAAATACAGGATTAGTTTTAGTTATTCAAATGGGAGTTGTTACTTAACTAGCTGCCTTTTTATTTCAAATTGCTCAAGGAATCTTGATAGTTTGACCCTTGTTTTTGGTTCACTTTAAACTTGCAATTCAGGCTACTTTCAAGATTACATTGGAAGTACCAGCAGAACTCATAGCTCTTTCCAACATGCCAGTCATTGAAGAAAAAATTAATGGGAATCTGAAGACAGTATATTATCAAGAATCGCCAATCATGTCAACATACTTGGTAGCAGTTGTTGTTGGCTTGTTTGATTATGTTGAAGATCACACCCCTGATGGTATATTTGTTACTACCCTTCTATCTTGTGTTTGATCGGTGTGATTATTTGTCCTTTCCTAGTGACGAATAACACATTTCACAGGAATCCCTGTTAGGGTGTACTGCCAAATTGGCAAGGTAAATCAAGGGAAATTTGCCCTGGATGTTGCTGTTAAAACACTTGGCCTCTACAAGGAGTAAGTGTACTTGTGATTTATCATTACGCATAACATGATAATTGTTATATTTTCAGTTTTTTTAGTGGATACATTCTTAGATGCTTATGCACAGACTGAAATTATTCATTCCGCTTCAAATTTATCAAATAAAAACTGCAGGTACTTTGCAGTGCCATATTCGCTGCCCAAATTGGACATGATTGCAATTCCTGATTTTGCTGCTGGAGCTATGGAGAATTATGGACTAGTTACATATCGAGAAACTGCTTTGCTCTATGATGATAAGCACTCTGCAGCTGCTAACAAGCAAAGGGTAAAAAGCTCAGACGATATTTATCAAATTTCCAGAGTTATAATTAGTGAACTTATATTGTTGTTGGAGCCCTTTTATATGCTTCGAGTTATAATCGTAAAAATTATATCCTATTTAGGTTGCCACTGTTGTGGCACATGAACTTGCACATCAGTGGTTTGGCAATCTTGTGACTATGGAATGGTGGACACATTTATGGCTGAATGAGGGATTTGCAACATGGGTATTTTGTTTTTTTGTACTCGTACATGCTTATGCATTTAAACTACTAGTTGCTTTATAATTTATTCATTTTTGGTCTTTCACGGTTCAGGTGAGCTATTTAGCTACTGATAGATTGTTCCCAGAGTGGCAAATTTGGACTCAGTTTCTTGAGGAAAGTACTGAAGGGCTTCGACTAGATGGGCTTGCAGAATCTCACCCCATTGAGGTAAGCAATTAGTATTCATTGGAGCCTGCTAGAAATGAAGATGACATTATTATATTTGCTCATAGTCTTTATCTTAGAATTTAAATGTTAACGATCTTCTGTTCAGGTAGATGTAAATCATGCACGTGAAATTGATGAGATTTTTGATGCAATCAGTTACAGAAAGGGTGCATCTGTCATTCAGATGCTACAGGGCTATCTTGGCCCTGAATGTTTTCAGGTGGTTGTTTTCTTTTTTATACTTTTTTTCTTTAATTTCTTCCCCATGAAATTGTTCCAATTTCTAGATGTTTTAGGTTGGTGCTTTTGTCGTTTTAGTTATGTATTTGTTTTAAATTGTGTTTCTATATATGAACCTAAAACTTTACTCTCGTCATGCCTACTTGACTTGTAGATTGAAACACAGATATTATAAAATTTTTAAGGATTTGGGATTGCCTTATAAATCTTCTAACATATAATGGATTCTTAACTTTTTGTGCATATTTATGTTCTCTACTTTTGGTTCAGTCCTTTCAATTATTTGATATCATATCTGCAGCCATGTTCCGTTAACCACTGGTCAAAGCCATAAATAGGCGCTAACCAGCTTGCTCCAAACAATTCAGTACTCATTGCTGGATAGAAGCCAATCCAGTTTCCTGTATGGCGTCCAATTAATTCCCACCTTTTCAGGATTGGGTGCTCCAATTACAAAGTAGACCTTTCCAAAAGTCCATTGGCTCGATAAAACTTCAAAGTACAAGAAGTTCAAAATTTAGTTGTAAATTTTTTATTGAATGAGCTTTTACTTTGGATGTCAACTACTTAACAACTATGTGTTACCTTAGATGGTTAAAGACCATATAAAACTAATATGTCATCTGAGATAATAGACACTGAACTGCATTAAAAGTTTCATAATAGTTACAAGCTAAACCTTGTTCCCAATAATATATGTGGGATCGGCATGAATCCTTTTTGCCAATCTGTTCAAGCTAGGCATCTAAATCTACATGTTCTGTCAGCTTCAAAGAAATAGAATGTTTTGCAATAATAGTCTCTCTCTCCATCTACTTCTTCTAACCTATTTTGTAGGGAATGCATTGTTCCTGTAAATATAAGAATATGCTTCAACTAGACAACGTCAAGCTAGGTGCTTATTTCTATTATTACAAAGTTTCTTCTACACATCTAAAATTTGTTTTAGAAATGATGCATCAGTGGATTAGTATACATGCTGACAAGTGTCAATGGCTTTGAACCTATGTACATGAATTTCTTTTCAAGGTTCCAATTGTTGCGCTTTATATTGTATTTGTACAATTGTATTCAGTTTTGTGGTTACACTATTGCAAACATCACTTTCCATTTGGTTTTAGTTTGATCCTTTCCAATTTTCTAATTCTCCTAAAATTTCCTTTATTACCAGCTATAGATTTACATTCTAGCTCTTCATCTGTTCATTTGATAATTTACAATTGTTTCATTGGACTTCTTCCAGCGGGCGCTTGCTACATACATAAAACGGTATGCTTGCTCAAATGCAAAGACAGAAGATTTATGGTCTGTTCTTCAGGAAGAATCTGGTGAGCCGGTGAAGAGGCTAATGAACTCATGGACAAAGCAGAAAGGTTATCCTGTTGTCTCTGTGAGAGTCGAAGGCCAAAATTTGGAGTTTGAGCAGGTTATCTCCTGATCAGAGATCCTATCATTATTCACTTTCGTGTCCTATCCAAGGGGCAATTTCCTTTCAAGTACAATATATATTGGATGGCTTTTAGAAGTTCTGACAGCTTTTCTATCAACTTATGACAGACACAATTTCTATTGAGTGCTTCTCGTGGTGATGGGCAATGGATAGTTCCTGTAACGTTGTGCTGCTGCTCTTATGATGCTCGTAAAAGTTTCCTGCTGCAAACAGTGTCTGGAAGTCTTGATTTGAAGGAGTTCTCATGTGCCTCAGTTTCAAATGTCAGTTCTTGGATAAAAGTTAATGTAGATCAGACTGGTTTCTATAGGGTGAAATATGATGAGGATTTATCGGCTAGACTTA